CTTTCATAATTGGCCCCGCAGACGGAAACAACACATTTTGATGCTCGTCGTTTCTGAGGGGGGAGGGGGGGGGGGGGGGGCGTGTCGGTTCGGGCCGCGTTTCACACTTTTGATTCCGCTCAGTTCTTTTTTTCCTCCGTCAGGCTGGTTCAGAAGTAAGCGCCCCGCAGTGCTGCTCCGGCGTAGACCTGCCTCTAAAAATACCTGCGCACGAGGTGCAGAACAGCACGTGACAGCGCATCTTTCCGTTCCATCACAATCGTTCTATTCCCCCCTCCCTCCCCCCCTCCTCCACGGACGTCCTTTTTCCATTTTTCTCATTCCAGAGACGTATTCTAACATGCATGCGTTCTTCCTCACTTGCTTCAGTGCTTTGGTTGTCAGGCTCACGCTATAAACACAGGCTGGTGAGTATTCATCCGTCTCTGGGGCGTGTTTGTCCCCCCCCCCCTCCCCTCCCCGCCCGCGTTTGCTCGTTAAGTCGGGGTTAATTGCCTCCCTGGCTGCAGGCACACGACGGGCCGAAACGAGGCCGAGCGGAGATCAGTGATGGAGGATGGAGTTTATGTGTTAACACTGCCAGGCTAGTCGTCACCCCCTGTTTTCAGTCTTTATGCTAAGCTAAGCTAACCGCCTGCCGGCTCCAGCATCATATTCCTAATCCGACTCTCCAGCGATAGAAGCACAATTACTGTGTATATTCGTTGCATATTATAAATCCATATGAAGTTTTCTCATTGTTGCACTCATGCCACCAATGATGTCATTTAATGCGCTTGTCTCAGGGGTCGCCGCCTGGAAGCCCCGACAGTTTAACTGAAATTGTCCGTAAAGTGTCAATGTGAACGAGCTCAATAATATGTGCTTTGTGTTCTTTCTCCCTCATTTCCTCCGTTCCTCACTCACTCCATTAATGTTATATTGCTGTTATATCTTTCTTTTTTTTCTAGCTCCTCTTTTCCCAAACCGCTCACCTTTTCTCATTCCCTCTTCTCCCTCGACGTCTCTTCCTGTGTGTGCCACGCGATGTGTGAGAGAGCAGTGAACGACCTCTCTGACGCCCGTGGAAATGAAGAAGTGGCTGAAAATGAAGAGCGAACGGCCGTGTGTGAGCGAGAGAAAGATGCACACAGGATTATCTGAGCATCAATATTTCAGTGGCTAGAACCTCGGATGAATAATTCAACCTGAGTGTTGCACCGTTTCCCTCTCAGCAACACTCTTGGCCTGGTCACACACACACACACACTCGCTCAGCTTTCCTCTCTGAAATGAAGGTGGCCCAACAAAATCGCCTGAATCTACTCCAGCGGTTTTCGCCTCTTTCTTTAATCTCCCTCCGTCCACTGTGAGCCTCGTGCTGGCGGAGGAGTTGTTACGATTCTTTATAAAGTGTAGGAACTGCGCCCGTTCCCCCTGGACTCCGCATCAAGCTATTTATGTAGCAGGAAGATGAATTACTTCCCCACCTGAAGCATCTCTCCGAGAACGCACGTGGTCTCTAAGCAGACCGATTTGGCTTCGGCACGGCCTGTCGGAGCAGATTTAGGTGTGTGTGTGTGTGTGTGTGTGTGTGTGTGTGTGTGTGTGTGTGTGTGAGCTTATCTGAACCTGCAGAGCGGTGTGGCTTCGTAGATAAGAGCTGGGTGACCGGCGGGTTCCGTCCCCTGTGCTCCCACCAAAACCGCTGACGTATGTTAGCATCGATATTCTTCTTTTCTGACTCGTTTTTGATCCGTGTCACTGGGTCAAAATAGCCATGTATGTTATTATTGGTGTAATTTTTTTATTTTTTATTTAACAGATTGCATTCTTTTGTTTGAATGAAAGTCAATGAACAATAATAAGGGTTTATTTTCTTTACGTTCATCTACCTACATCATGTAAATTGAGTCTGAATCATATTTTCTCCTCCATATTGCACTTGTAAAATGAATTTTTGATTAGAATCTACATACAAATTGCGAGCGATTCCCAAACCTCCGCTGAGCGCCACCTGTGTGCGCCCTGCATCAGCATTCACATAGAGCTGAACATCGTCCCGAGGCCTCAGAGTTGATTTCAGCGGCCTCTCGGGGGGGGGGAGGCCTGTGGGTGGTATTTCATTCCACAAAGACCAAACAAAGACCAGGACAGTCACACAAATGTCCACACTGTGGAACAGGGGGACGTCGTCTCCTCCACGGCAACAAGGCGCCAACTCTACGGTCACTTAGCATCTTAGCGCTAAGCAACACCCGCTTCCCCATAACTCAGCAGCCCCACGGTGATGCTGTTGGTATCAGCACATCAGCCATCTGCTCGGAGGGTTTGGCCTCAGACGCGCACACACACACACACACACACATTTCACTGCTGCGTATTCCCAAAAGAGAGATGAAACCTTATGGAAGAAGAGACGTCATCTTGTGTGTAGCTGTTGTTAAGATAAATGTTTGTTTTTTTATTAACAGCATCTTTACAGCTTTGATCTGACTTTGCTGCTTTGTTTAATCTTTTACTTCTCTCCCACGTGCACCTTCATTTCCCCCCTTTTCTTCATCTCAAACCCCAAACCATCTCACACTCTCTGTATTCCTCTGTCCCCGGCTCGTACGCAAACATGCAGGGCATCCAGTCGGGTCCCGTCACCGTCCTCCGCTGTATAAACGTAGTGTTTTTATTCTCCCTCGTAGTGAATCGAGTCTGAAGCTAATATCGTTTTCACACTTTCTGTCCGCACGTCCGCCTCAAACATTTATTCTGCACTGTCTCATCGCTCTGCTAATCCCTTTTCTATAAGCAGTTGGAGTTACAGAGTTCTATCCGGTTTTGTCACAGGCTTTAAACCATTCGTCTGTTGCTTTTGTTTGTCCCGGGATTTCGGTGTTGTTGTTCTCTCCCGCTCGTCTCAGTCTGTTCGGCTGTTTATTCCTGTATTCATGCATGCCGGCATCTGAGCTTTATTTCTTGGTCTCGGCTGTCATTTTGTTTTGGCAGCCATCTTTTCTTAGCATTCAAATGCGATTCTGCTTCAACCGAGAGCCTTGTTCTTTCATGTAATACCTGCTGTTTCTATCAATCACGCCTCTTAGCTTGACGTGTAATGTAATGTTGTCTCTCTCTCTCGGTCTCGCTCTGTTTATTCAACCTACAAGAATTACTGATTAATTTGTCTTTATTCTAAAACGGAGGCCGACGTGATGCTGTGGGTTTTCTTCCGTGACCTTGAAACACAGATTGTCGGTGCTCGATGTTTAGCTTCTCTGATGTTTGTCGCTGCTGCAGAATCTCAGCGCTTCAGCAACGGGACTCTGCTCTGACGGGATCTTTTCACACACAGATTGCACATCCCACAGGGCGAGCAAGCGCCTCTGTGCGCGTTGCAATGTTTGAGTTTATAACGAGTTAAGAAAAGCGGACAAATGGCCCCATCGTGGTAACGATGAGCATGATGCCGTTGTTTTGCATCTCGTGTGCTTCAAAGACCTCACAGAGCGAGTCCAGTGCTCTTCACAGGGTGTGATAACTGTGACTCAATATATTTTCATACATCATGTTCAGATGAGTCGAGGTGATGTGCACGTTAACGGTACACCGGGCGTGATTCACAGCGCGCTGTGTGAAAGGACTCTAGTGAAGGTCGAGCGGAGAGAGACTGTGGGTCAACAGGCCCATTGATCCAGTTTTATGTTGGGTCTGACCTGTGCAGAGATATCGCTCCAGAAAAGAGCTCAACTCTTTTGTATTGCCCCGGTTTACACCCCTTCCAACTAATGTAAGTGAATACCGTCTGCTTTCCTCTTGGTTCTCAGTCGCCATCAAATGTTGTGAGTAGGGTGGAAGATTAGCAGCGAAGCCCTTACAGCGCCAGTGGAGCAGTTGCATATTTAAGCGAGCAAACATGTGTGTTGTGACGCTGGCGTTGGAGGAAGACCAATCAGCGGAAGTATGGCTAAGCCCCTGCAGCAGCAGCAGCAACACGCTGGGCCCGTGATAGTGTGCGCACAAACACCCACACAGGCTCACTGCAGTCAACAATCTGTGGTGAAATGCATGGAGAAAACGCACCGGTAGATTGTGTTCTGCTGCCATATCGGGGATATGCAAATTGGCTCCCATTTTAATGATGCAGAAAGGTTTGTGTGTGTGTGTGTGTGTGTGTGTGTGTGAGAGTGTGAGAGGACTGTTCTGTAAGCTAGACATCTGTTGCCGCCACCTTTTCTCTCCGTCCGCCTGTCTGTCGAGAGACTGAGGAGTTGGCCTGCTTCCTTTCTCTCTCTCTCACACACACACACACACACACACACACACACACACTAGCAGAGCCACTTAAGCTTCGGAACAAAAACAGACGACAATATCAAGCTCATGTTGTCTTTTTGTTTGATGGAATAGGGACGGTTTTTAGTTATGGTCATTGTCAAAGTTAAATACACTCAAGCCAGACTAAATGATTGACTTGATATGTCTTTGATGACTCATCCCACTGAGATGGAGCTTCAATGGAAAATGTCATCTTTAAACCAAGATTAAACAGAATCACTCAGGGAAACTGGTGGGGGTGGTGTGTGTGTGTGTGTGTGTGCATGAGAGTTTAAGGGAGCCTGAGGGTGTGTGTTTGTGTCTGGCAATATAATATAACTATTGAATATATCATGGTCTCCTTGGCAGCAGATATGAGGCTCTTAGTCTGTCTTTGTCCAGAGTTCTAAGTCAGATAAGTGCCGCGTGTGCTCGACACTGTGGACCAACTAGGTCGTGTTTGATTTCATCATAGCCCCCAAAAGTTGTGCTGAGTTTTGGCAAGTGTGAGCATCTCGGACACGAGCCAGAGACCCGTGATGAGCGGTGTCCATTGACATAGATGTTGAGATCACTCGTTAGCAACGGGGTCCTTCTTTATTGGAGAAATGTTTGGTCGAAAAGCTTCAAAACAACTTAGCGTCACTTGTAAGATTAACAAGGCTTATTTACAATAAGAGTTCCATGGTGTCTTCGTGTCTCCGTCTGTTGTGCAGTGGTGGGACGTGGAGACGGGCGAGGCCTTGCAGACCTTCTTCACCACGGGGACGGCGTTGAAGAGGATCCACGTCTCATCCGACTTCTCCACCTTCGTCACCATCGACAGCATCGGCATCCTCTACGTCCTGCAGCGGGTGGTGTGAGACACTGCTGCCGGAGACCTCCATGTACGCGGTTACCCGACGTACGCACTTTGGGAATGAAATACTCATCGTCTGCTGGGAGTGTAGATGAACAGTCGGCCCTCGAGGAGTGTCGAGATGTAGAGTGGAGATGCAAATATTGAGCTAAATCGCTCTCTGAAAAAGAGCAAAGCAACATGCAGCCTTTGGTACGATCAGGCCTTTAAATCGTTAATGTCACCAGGGTACCGATATGTCATCCTGGCATTAAATGTGAACAATAGTTGTTAATCCGTGTGGCATCAGAACATTATTGCATGTGATCTGTGATATCGAGTACTGTACGTCCGTTGCTCTATTAGAAATAATGAAGTGCATTTGACGCGTCTTTGCTGTGATGTTTTAGAACTTCCATCTTTGCGTTTGAGGGTTAATCTTGTGCGTCCGGTCTATAAACAGTTTTGGGCCTTTTATTTACACTGCGGCCTTAATCTGAATGTAAATACTGGAGGGCGTGTATGTTCTGTGCACATGGCTTTTGCCTTTTCTATCCACCAGCATAGACCGAGGCTATGGTGCTTTTTGGAGAGATTTAAATTTTAACAATCAGGCTTTAAATAATAATTTGAATACATTGAATAATCTTTTGAAAGCTGGCAATCTGTACAGCCAAATTGTTGTGTACTTTCGATCAGATGGTTTCTGTATGTGATTTATAATGTAGTTTCCACTTGCAAATGTTTAAGGGCACTTTTAGTGCCGTATTAACTTTATATTAAGTTCTTTTTATCACTCTGTACAACTTTTTACACACTTTTCTCTACTCGTCGTCCAACTGAGCCTTTTACTGTCCGCAGCACTTTGAAGCAAGCGTTACAATCTTTAATTGAGGAGTTTGCTAATGTAGCTTTCATCAGACACATATAAAAAAAAGGTCTTTACTTTCATATGACAATACGGATGAGACCGCAGAGATGATACAGACTCCAAACACTTCTGAACAATGCCACTGTCCTTTTCACGTTGTGCTCTTCCAGATTGGTGCTTTAAAGTCAATGTAAATCAAATCGACAGTTTTACTTGAGGAGGTGAGGAGGTCTCTGAATTTAAAAATACTGCTGAAATATTGATGTGCTCAGGACGTATTGATTCTGTTATGTACAGTGTTGTGTAATGTCAGTGAATTTTATATTAAGATTAAACTTCACACACTACGATGATGAGACGTCTGTCCTGATTTTGTCTTTTCGTGGACGATAGTCACAGATTCTTTATAAAAACAAAAAGACAATCAGTCCTGCTTTTCTCGTTGTAGCTTCTGAGTATGGACACACACGAATCTAAAGGAAAGTCATCCTAATAACTTTAAAAAATAGTGCTGTTTCCACATAAGTACGAAAACAGTATGTTCAGTAAAGGTTAAAAATGTTTTGCCTATTATCCAGACAATAAAAGCCTGTTTAAACTGAAACTTATTATTTGTTTACTCAATAATAAATTAATTCAATCAACGTCATCATATTGCGCCGTTAGTGTGTTCTTCCCCGCCACACGGGGGCGCTGCGGCACAGACGCGGTGCGACAAACGCGGTGCTCGTTCCGGTTGAAACGGACGGCGGGCGCGTGAAGAAACACGCCAAAGATTGGTCCAATTCCTTGGGAGAAAACAGAAAAAACACAGTTTGCCGAAGAAACAGTTGAAAATGAAAAAAACACCACCTGTAAAAAAATAATTATAAAGAGGATTTCGAGGATAACTCTGCCGAAGAAAAGGTAAGCGTCACAATAACTGCTATTATAAATGTTAGCTAATTAAGCTAGCCATGCCAAAGAAGAAATTAGCTAACTCACCTGTTTATCCACGTTACAGCCCCTCCGGTGTCCCAAATAATAAACTGCTATAAAAACGGCTTGTTTTTAAGGAGTTGTTGCTGGTAAGTGGCCCTTTCATCCAATTTTTAGAGAACATTTGAAACTGGGCTCATTGTTGACGTCACCTGTTCGTATTTACCATGCAGCTGATGGATGCTGTCAACGCCTCTCACCGCGTCCTTCAGCTGATTTTGAGTAAACTGATCACCGGTTGAAGGCTGGAATCCAATTCCAAGCTGAGTTAATGTGATGACGCAGCTCTAGTGGGATTCATCAGTGCCTAATTAATTTAGATGTCTCTGCAATGACGGATGCGTGTGGAGGGCGAACGCGGGAGGTCAATGTGACCTTCAGCTTACAGCCAAATTCTACTTTAGCTGGAAATTGTGGAAGTACAGTATTTGCGCATATGACCCTTCAGGGTGCTTGACTCACAGAACTCAGTAAGGCAAAATCCAATCCTAACAACGACGGTGGTTTTTTTTTTTAGAATACCGACGAGCTCCTGCACACAACAAGATGCCTTGTTGTCGGGCCCAAACAGGAAGACATTACCGGCTTCTTATCCCTTTGACAGTAAACTTGAAACCGTTTGTCTCGGGGTCTTTAGGCATTCTGGGCGCCGAGGCAGCATAGTGGCTGCCAGTACGATTTGGGAACTGGTCCAATCACGGTGCAAGACATGGAGCGGCCCCATGACATTCTAATGCAGTGTCGCCAGCTCTCAGATAGACTTCAGTGCTTTCTATTTATATCACGTAATCTAGATGGTGAAGTAAAGGCGGACGGTCTTTCTGCTGCACAGACCGATGCATCTCAGTGGCGTCTGGTCTCGATAGTTCCAGAGACTTTTAGTGGTTTCAACAGAGCAAAGAAAATCAATGCGCCACATTTAGGTGCCGTCTTTCTTAAGTGGTGTGTTGGCCGAGTGCTGCATGAAACGCAAATGACGGGAGGATTAAGTCATGTTTTCGCCTCTCTGATTGCTCGCATTCACATTTGTGCTAAGTAAGCTTACCTTTCTGATTTCAGGATGCTAATAATAAGCATCCTGGAGATTTCATCTTTTCCTTGCAATTACATCTGTGTGGACGGCTTTGCCAAGATGATTCCCCTTCGCCTTCAAGAGTAAATTGAACATATCTGATACTTTATATTCTTAAAAAGAAATCTGAGTTCATGTGTATTTCCTCTTCTTTTTCTGCATCTTCGTAAACGCGCACTCACGCCCCCGCGGTCTCCCCAGGAGTGGTGTGAACTCTTTTTAAAGACCGGTTGAGGTGTGCACTAACCTCATTAATTCCTCCCGCTCCTGCTTAATTAATCTTTGTCTGCTGCTGAAGTAATTACAGCTATCTGGCTGTCTGTGTGTCTACACACCGCTGACACCACCTTCCCCTCTCAGTTGCAGCCGGGCATGGATTCCCCCCGCAGCCTCGGATGACTGTCACGCTGAAAGCGCTGACTCACTGGGGGCGTAGTGGAAGGGAAATAAGACGTTGTCCTTTTGAACTTCTAAAAAAATTGTCTGCCTTAAGAATATTAAAGAAATAGGTCTGCTGCTGAAAACTCATGAGTGGCAGCGGAATGTTTGGAATCAGAGTTGTATTTTTTTTTTTCAGAATAAGTTACATTTATTGAATTCTTCTCTCGAACTGGAGGCGGCAGAGCGACGCCAAGCTGTCGTCGCCTCAGTGCTGTGTGGGCTAATGTGTGGCTGATAAAAGCAAACACAAAGTTATGATCATTGTTGCAATCGTGTATTTCTTTTGGACATTCAATCTTCATGCACCTTTTTCGTCAACGGCCTGTGCTTAAAAATCCATTTAGAATACAAAGTTCGGAGGCCCTTTAGCCTAACTTAGCGTCGCTTTAGGTGTTCAGGCGGCGCTGATATTTAAACCGTCAACGTGTTCTCCAAAACCTGTTCGTAAAAATGTATACGAAAATCTTGAACATACAAATTCGTAACAATACATACGAACTGGCGGTGGTTAACCACGCCGTGTGTTGTGTGTGTGAGAGAGAGAGAGGGTTAGTATTCTATTCTTACAATTTAACATTGATTTCTCGTTAAAAATGCAATCATAACACGTTTATTTTACATCGTTAGACTTCACGAAGTGTGTTTACGGGGTGCAGGTCCCCGTTCACTTTGAATAGGGTGACGTCATCAGTTGCAGTCCGTATTTATTTAGTATGTATCACTACGAATTTGTATCTTCAAGATTTTCATATACATTTTTCCGAACAGGTTTTGGAGATCAGGCTGAGTTTCCCAGTGAGAGGTCTCTATTCACACTTGGATCCCCAGGAGTTTTAAAAAGCCCCCCCCCCCACCCCCCCAGCTTAAGACTTATTTTGTTTTCCCTGCTCCCTCTCTTTCCTCATACATTTTTCACTGCTTTGCTATTTCTCGAGCTTGTGGCTTGTGCAATTGTGCGAGCAGATTTTCTGTTTGCCGGCCCAAAAATACGGAGACTTGGTAAAGGGGGGGGGGTGCCTGAATACGATCGGGAGAGAGGTGTTAGTTGTTTCCTGCTTGGCGGGTGGGAGTTAACGTGTGACTTAAATGTGCGGTGGCAATGGAAGCAGTCTTTGTGATGTGGTGCGGCTGTCCAAAAAAAGTCATTTTAGAAATTGATTGTTATTTATCTTAAGGTCTGTGGTTTTATTTTACACTGTCAAAAAATACCTCCTGAAAGATCCAATTATATAATTCAAATCTGTCACGTTTCCAATTGTCTACAGCTCTCAAGCCCATTTGTGCGTCTTTCAAATGTAGATTATGTAGTTTAACTAAGTAGTTCATCAACCAACGTATAGCAACACTATTTAAAGCCTTCAACTAATCAGTATTTTAACAAATGTCAGTTATACTTCTGATTCAATTGATTTGATTAATTGAAATGTCAGTTAATGCAAATGCCCGTTATCATTTTCAGTAGCTCAAGGAGAAATAATTGTTTTTCTATTGAATTGAATTCCTATCATTCGTCAACTTGTGAATATATAATACACTTTCTAAACTAGATGGTTTATTGTATGACGGATAGTGACGAGGGTAACATCTGCGGTTTCTCCGTGCTCATTGGCAGATGTTGACGTGTCTGCAAAAAACTAACGTAACAAATCTACCCTTGAAAAAAAGTTGGGCTCCACCTTTGCTGCATAGCAAAGAATTGGCAGCGCAAAAACACAACTCGACACACAACGTGTTGTTCTCCTTGAGTACCCGGTCGCTCCGTCACCATCCCCCTGTGTCTTCTGACCCTGTTTCGCTGTTACACCACTCGTGTGTGTTTGTGTGTGTGTGCGTGCGCTCTCCTGACCTTGGCCTTGGTCCCTGTTTGTCAGCTGTTGGCTCAGCTGCACCCCCCCCTCCCCCCTAAAATTCAGGATTGAAGTGAAAATCGAAATGGAACGCGGCCCGGGAGGAGCAGATGCTGTGGTCACCTGTGTCTCACCTCGTGTAGTAGCTCACACAGCCAGAGCAGCAGCCACACTGACACACCACAGGTAGAGAGAGAGGGGGGGGCCAGGGGAGGCTACCTCTTCTCCTTTCGTCCAGCTGGAATGAATGAATGACTGAACACATGTAAAAAGTCAACCCCTTTTTATCATATGTAGTTCTGCTGTTGCACATAAGGCTGTTTAATGTAAGTTATCCTGTTGTTTGACCCTTTGAGGATTTTTACTGGCTGTCTAGAACAGAGACTGGTGCCTATTGATGTGAAAGCTGCAGATGGTTAATACGGTTTATCCTGTCCTACTTTTGGCTTTTGGCTGTGTGGAAATCTGACGTTTTATTATGTTTAGTGGTACTAAGAAGAAAAAGCTAAAACCCAGGTTTCCATGGTAATGGCATAAACTGTGTGAATTTCTTTGCTGCTTGTCGTGTTTGATAGTAAAGCCATCATCTTTAGGCTTTGGAGTGCTGCTTAAAGAGCTCGCCTGGGGCTTCAGGGAATTGCTTTCCCTTTTTTATTTGACATTTTATAGATAAAACTGTTATTCAATAGTGAAAATAGTTGTTAGTTGCACTTACCAGGACATAAGCTGTGAACAACATAGTATTTTTCATACTGTGGGCTGACTATTACTTAGAAAATGAGTTTAACACGTCAAAGTTTTTAGTACAAAATATATTGAAGTGGTATTTAGAGTTGAAATAAAATCCCTGTGTGCCAACGAGTGGACTGCTGCTCATCCACGCATCTCCGCTCAGATGTGTTCAGGTATTATGAGGCTGGAATTATCCGAACCTTCACAGCGGCAGTTTTTAGGGTATATAAAGGTATCTCTCTCACACACACAAGCAGATGACTGCAGACAGAAGCTTAGCACCTCAATTTGCATTTGTGCCCACGAACCAGATTGTTGTCTGGAGGGAAAGTGCAGGCCACCACCATTTCAGCAGCAGTTTTAAAAGCCCCTTAAAGCGAAGTAACGAGGAGTTTTATCTTACTGGCATTACGGCCGGGATGTGCATATTGTGTACCGATCAATCCGTAGATCCCAAGGTGCAACTGTCCTCTCAGGGGGAGCGCTTCATAAAAGGGCACTTTTTAAATCCTGAGCTCTTGAACATCTCCATCATGTAGTTATTGCATAAAGGGATTCTGTTGGATGGATGAATGTTGCACATCTAAAAGCAGATTAGGCTGCAGTCTTTATCACAAGTGGATCCTTTGAAACAAAATGAGCAGTGTCTTGAACAAAAAATGTTTTTTTTAAATAACTTATTCTGTTTTATAATGGTATAAAAGGTCAATGGCCAGCAAGAGTATGTTAACTAGAAAATTGTGAAAAAAATGAACATTTATTTATAACAAGCAGTCAGCATTACTTTACACTGTTAGTAATCGGACAAAAAAAAACATGAATCCAGTCTACTAGTCCTGAAGTTTGTCTCCACTTTCCCCACGTACGGGGGCCACTTCGGTCTTCGTTTGTGCGTTCGTAGCATCCCGCGCTGGTTGTCCCAAACGATGAGATGGAGCCCGACGGAGGCGCGTCTGTCTCCGCCTCAGGAAGCGTCTGTGTGTGTTCCTGCAATGTTTTTTAAAACATTTGTGGTGCTGCTAAACCACCACAACGACGACGTCCGCACACAAACTACATTTCCGAGTGTAGCCGCCTCTGACTACTGGATTTAGCTTCACTGCATTCTCTGTATTAACGCTCGTGTTTTCCTCAGTTCTCCACTGCGTAGACGATGAGCTTGTGATCTTCGCCGTGCTGATCGTTGTGCACTGGAAAGGTGACATAAGCGGCTTTGTGTGACGGCGAGGCTTCGCTGCTGTCATGTCGCCGGCGTCCCAGCATCTTTTGGAGCAGACGTCGCCCGACAGCTCTTATCACGGATGTGCAAGTGGTAGTTTTATTTTTTTTTAATGTTCCTCGGGGTTGATGGACGTGCAGCCTTCCCACACACTTAATCGTCACAAGACTTTTTCTGCTTTGCTTTCAGCTGAACGGAATTCAGCAAATTGTTGCAGAATACTTGAGGCTTTTTGCTGCGCTGTCAAATCTCATTTGAAGCACTTGACCTACGTGCTTATCCTCAGCCCATTTGGCACTGAGCGAGCAAACAAATGAATAGAACTATAAAAATGTGTAAATTCAGTAAATACAAACATGACTCACGTCTGGGGTTGTTTTGAATCAACTTTGGGTTCGGTTGGTGTCTTAGTCACATTTCCTGAACGTTGTTTTGTTTGATCAGGCACCACCGAGGAAAAGGACCACAGCGATATGCTTTCTAACCTCTGCTTGGAGACGGTCTCCGCTGAACCACCGCCCCATAATATTGCGATTGTTATTGTTACTTTTTACACGGTTGTCTCGTTCCGCCGGTAGCCGTGGGCAGCGCTCACCATCTGGAAGTTTGGTCCTCTCCCACAGTGAGACACGGGCGTCGGCAAAACAAAGCGCGGCCTCTTGCTGTCTCGCACCTCAAAAAAAGCCCTCCCAGTGCTCATTCCAGTCCTTTTTGCCTCGGGCCAGCAGTGGGAATGGAATCGAGCTGCGTGAAGCCCGTACACGCAGCAGCAGCATCGCTCTGCACTCCTGGTCTAATCTTCCAGATATGTCTCGGATTACCTCCCGCTCTTCCTTACAGACAATAAAATGTTTTCTCGGTTTTTGACCAAATTGCAGGTTGGCAGTAAATCTTCGGCGAAACACAATGTGCCGCAGTCGCGCTTTTCTCCACCGATCAGATCAGACGTAACGGCTGCAGATAGCAGCCCGCTTCATTCAGCCGTCTGCGGCTCAGGAAACGTGCTTGCTCAGCCTTCCAGGAGCTCACTGTAACACTGACATCTTTTTCTTTTCTTTATATTCAGCTTTTAAAAGGTTTGAGGTGTTGTCCAAGGAGGGACCAGTGGTTGGAAGGGAGAGTACAATCTTCACGCAGTTAAATTGCCTGAATCCTTTCAAATCATCGATCACTTCTTTGGACTCAAATGTTATCGGCAGACACACTAAAGATTTTAGTGGCTGCCTCATTAAGATTCATCGCAGCTTGTGACTGCGACATGGATCGAGGCGGCCGAGGAAATGAAGATTTGATCAAATATGTATTGGGCACATTAAGGCCGCTTTCATAATCTGCTGCCGGGGATTCTGCTTTTAACCGCGTCGTCCGAAATATGCCTGCTGAAGTAACCTTACTGCGGGGTTGCAACAAGCATTTTTTTTTTATTAACAGTCCAAACCCCAATGATATTCAGTTTACAATCATGTATAAAAATAAGATCCTCTGAAATACGTGGTTTGATTATAAAAATGAGTCCTCGTTGACCTGAGAGACACTTACCTTCTCCTGCTGCAGAAGCTTTAAACCGTTAACTGGGCTGCGTTTATTTCCTTCTGTCAGTCAAATCCAGGCGGGCCGAGAGCGGAGACCAGCCAGAGGGGCTCCGGAGCTGCTTTTGCGTTTGAGTTAAATCCCCCATCAGCGCTCGGCTTTACCGGAAGCTGCAACTAAGATGCTCCGTGTGTGTCCGGGGTGGTAACTTGGTTTGATAAATATCAATATTCTCCTTTCAGTTATATTCTAGCTGTCAATGGGATGGGATACGAGACGCGCCGACATTTTGTACGTTTGATTGTACTAAAGAGATTTGTCGTAAGCAATAATGCAGTGATACATGAGTATTCTAAACAATGGAAATGACTTATGACAACTTCATTCACAGGTGAGTAATGGTTTTACAAGTCATATTTTATTCCATGTGCTTTACAAGGATATAAATAATGGCCCAAATTACAAAATTCAGTGTGCTGGAAGCCCAAGCATATGTACACGAGTTGTTCAGCAGTGATGTCGCCATGTAACCCACCTCGGTCTTAAAGCACAACCTCTGCAATGCACCACTTCTTTGAATTTCCAACCTTTATTTGGGTACCTTGTATCCAGTGCCGCGTACTGCAAATGCTTTATTCTTTTCTTTTACATTACACGTATGAACAATGAGTTGGCAAAATATCTATGTACATTTTATAATCGGATGACGTCTCATCCAAATAATACAGTAATACTGCGTTTAAAATATTACATCTGCTAGATAAAGAGTAGAGCCCCATGAGAAACGATGCGTTTGACCTGACACGAGTTAGCTAGCCACCTGCGACGTACGATCATATAGTTTGAGCTCTTTTTAACGGACTGCCGTCACCCTCGAAGCCCCTGGAATTCCTCTCATCATATCATAGAAAAATAATGTAACATTAAGACAACAGTAGACAAGAATTGCACAAGAATAATCATAATCATCGTGGTAATATAATACTCTCATATTAAACATTAAAATGTCGGGCAATACGAATAGAATACTTTTTTTTTTTTTACTTTTTTTTTACGCCAGATGCCGTTTTGTTTGCGTAGGTTTATAATCCGTTACGAGATACCTGTTGCATCTCCGGCGTGTTGCAGGGTCCAATCACATTTTACACACCTGTGCATATATCTCTGTATTATATTCTTTTAAGAAAACCAAAGAGACCAAAAAGAGGCAGCCGGTCGTCCTCAAACTCATGCCCCTTCCCCCAGTGCCGCATGCCCAGAGTCCAAATACTCACTGTCTCCACGGGGTCGCTGTGGCCGCACCCAAAAGTTCTCAGGTCACGCCTCCAAGTTAGGTTCTTAAACAAAAAAAAAAAAAAAAAAAAAAAGATTCCGTCGTAGCTGGAGAACATTGAGTCGCTTTTCAAATAAGCGTACATTCAGAGCAGAGCGTCGTCTGGCGAGACGCGGTCCCGTTACCGCGTACGAAATGTCCAGCGTTTACCCGGACGCACAATGTCAGAATGTTGTAGTCAACCTTAAACAGCGCGGAGTAGCATCCGTGTTTGTAGTCCTTTTTGTAATCCGTTTTGCATTGTATGTGTGACAAGGTCCGTGTTTAGGGCTGGCTACATTCTTTGCATTCCACAGTAATAGACATGAGCGTCCGGCATTGCCCTGCAAATGAGATGACATCACTTATCGAGAGAGGCCTCCACACCGGCTCAGCAAACCCAAAAATGGCCACCATGCGTCCAACATGCTAAACAGATTACATACAAGGTTTTTTTTTTTTTTCCCCTTCAAACAAAAAAAGGTTTATGGCCAGGGGCGATCACTCCGGTTAAAATAATTTTGAACGTATACACACACACACGCACACACACACACACGTGGTGACAAAGGATGCTTCAACAGCAACGAAACAGCACGCTTTTTTAAAGTTGCGTGTCAAAGAAATTCACAAGTTTGTTAGTATTTTCAAAAAAATAATCTGATATAAAGGATCAAAAAGTTGAAATACATTCTAGTAGCCTGCTGTATAAAGCAGTTTGAGTCAAACAGACTGTGCTACATCCCCTCTCCTGTAATTCGGCTCTCCTCTTTGATTTAAAAAAATGTTTAAAAAGTCTGGACCGTCCTCCAGTCGCCACGGTTCGGAGCGACCGCCCTCGCGTCATTTTGGGCTGCCGGGCTCAACCGACAGCTAAAACACTGTCACGGCCCTTTAGCGGCGCTCTGCTTACAAATGTCATTCAAGTTGTCAGGGGCAGAAAGGTAGAGACAAGCGAGGGATGGAGGAGAGAGTCGAAGCCAAGCGGTTGCCCCCATCAACGGGAACCAAAAAAAAAAAATCTGGGAGCAAAACAACCGGCTGCTTCACCGAGTGGGGTAAAAAAAACGGCGCTGACAAGTGCACCACCGCCCTCCCCCCACCCCGGGTTCAAAGGTCATGCGCCAGCCCTGCAGGCTGGTGGACGGGGCCCCGGGCCAAAGGAGGGGGGGGGGGGGAAGGGGAGGAGAGGACACGAGAGAGAAGAAGAGCGGGACGGCGCAGAGCCAAACTTCATCATGCAGCGGACGGGCTCGGCTAACGGGGGGCGGGATGTTTTTGTTATTTTCGGGGCGGCGTGCGTCGCTCGTGCCCAACGTCCGGGCCGGGGGCCCGGTACAGGGCACCCTCTGAAAGGCACACACACACACGGGAGTGGACAAGGCGAGTGTATGTTAGAAAATAGTGGTCTCGTACTTTGTGTTGACTCCTCTCTTGGCCTCCTGACCCGGCTCCACAATCCAGGGCACATTTGCGTGACCCTTCTGGTCCATGGACGGCTGCTCCATCTGACGGGTGGAGGAACGCAGAGGAAGCAGGGGGGGGGGTAAAAAAAAAAAAGAAGATAAATTACTTTCACCGACCTTTTATAGTGTCAACTTTGCAAAATGTTACAGAGTTTTAAGTACTTCTTTAGATGCTGGATGCAACACTTATGGAATGCAAACAGCTGTTTCTGTTGACAATTTATATGCCAATTATGTCAGTGAATGCAGAGCGAGACGCTGGAAGGAGTGAGATGGAGTAATGGAAAATTATAATTCAGACGTGAGAGGCATTTGAGATTCAGATGAGAAAGCATGGACAGAAGCTCGCATTTGGAGAAGTCTGACATTTAAAAAAAACACATGCATATTATTTCCATGGCGTCTGTGTGGTGCGCTTTTGTGTATTCTAGCAGTTTTGATTTTTTCTGCCAGTAGGAAGGTGTTTTGGCTTGTGGAATAAACCAAACAAGCCACACTGCTTATAAAAATAACCCCACGGCAACCAATCAAGCGGCTGGGATTTTGTTGCTGAGGGTGTTTTTCCTCCAATCGATTGGTTTATCATTTTAGGTGACTTTAGGAGCCCAGTTTAGACAGCAGATACAACATTAGTCCTTTCACAGATGTGTAACCGTAATCAATATAATTGTTTAAAAAAGCAATAAAGATTTACTTGGAGTGAACAGGGTTAATCTCGATGCTCTGCAGTTCTGCCCTAACAGGGCTCTTATCTCGTCGCAACACTCGGGGAAGTAGCTATAATATTAATCCGATTCCGTCTCCCTCCCTCATAATCACGTTATGGACTAACAGGATTAAGGAAGAAGCGCACTTTCACGACCACAAGATCGATATAGTGCACAGGTCGTCACCAGGATAAGTCTCAAATTCATCAGCCGCACACGAAGCCACTGGATGAACCGTGCCTCAAAATAGGTTTTTCATCAAAAACGCACCTCCCGGCTGTCGGCCGAAGGGTCCGAGTGTGGCAACTCGAAGCGATGCTGCAGGGACGAGAAAACCCCCTCAAAGGATCACAAACTCTGCCGTAGCACAACGTGGGGCTAATATCCCTTCTGCACATTGGAATCGTTCCCTGACACACTGTGTGCACTCCGCTGCTGCAATCTTGTGCTTATGACCCTTTAGAAGAATTCCACTGCCTCGAGGGCGATCTGAAGCGGACCAGCGAGAAAACAAGTGCGGATCGGGAGGAAAACCACTCCAAGCGTAAAGGGTAATTCCAAGCGTTCAACTGAGGTTTTAATGGACGAGGTGGTCTAAGAAGCATTGGGCTGACTCTAGCTAATTCCTGCAGAAAAGGCAAAATGAGAGATGCTGACAGCCAAAAACATTCTATTCTTTTATAATGTATAACAGGTAGGGGTGTAACGATTCATCCACTTAATCGATTTATATTCCTGCGATCCAACTGAATCGATCTGTGCTCCGCAAATCGGCATTCTGGACGACATATATCGATTGAAATGGTACATAATCGATACTTGGAAACTGCACATTGGATTTAAGCACAAAAACGGTATGGATGCGTGTTTGTTTGTTTGTTTTTTAGCACTTTAGACACGTTAAACGTTACTCGATTCAGTCTGCCACGTCATCAGTACGCAGCGGCAGCCGCGCGAAACTCGGAACAACAACAAAACACAGCGTGGAGGAGACGACTGCGAGCGAGACATTTACAAACCAACTTATCGATCCAGCGCGTGGAAACATTTTGGCTTTTGCAAACACGGAGGTGTTCTAAATAAGTCGGTCGCTGTTTGTAGAATATGTAGAAGCCAAATAAAAAAACATGGAAACACGACGAATCTTTCCGGCCGTCTACTAAGGCGCCGTGGGATTAAACAACGCTCGCGCTCGAAGGAGTTTTCTACGCGCTCGCTGTTTTTCTTTTTGACAGTAAGGGGGCGGAGCCAGTCACCATGGTCTCTACACCTGATTGGTTACAAACCCCGTCGTTGGATTGGCTGGAGCGATGCATTCACACAACTATAAAAGCCCATTTCCGCACTAAAGAAAGGGGATGGAAAGTCGAAATTATGAGATAAAACGTTGTCAAAAAACAAACGCCCCCTTCGGTAATCGTAGTGGACTGTAGATGACAACCAGCTACAACCATCATTACCGGCACATTAAGAGCAATGCGTCCAGCTCGCTTGCGTTCGAATCGAATCATTGTTAAAATGAATCGTTACACCCCTAATAACAGGCAAAGAAGGAAGCTCAACGGCATTATCAAAAGAAATTGAGAGCTGAATTACAATTGGTCTTTAATCCTTAATTCCTTAATGTCTAAAATTGCGACAGACTGAAAAGCACATGTGCTGTCCTTTTGTTTTACCGGTTATCCCATTTTTGAGGTAACATTGCAATGACTTGTGGGTTCTTTCCTTGGGCAAAGTCGGCATCTAATGCGGACTTCCGGAAAGGGCTCAAAATGCCAGAGAGCCCTCAGGCACTCAGCGGTGTGACGAGCCTAAACCCGAACTGACAGCCTACCGACTACACCTTGACTACACCTTTCTCGATTCTTGTCGTTGTGGGTCGCCAATTGCCAGTCGGTGTGAATAAAATACGCAGCTAATTCAAAAGCATTACTCCCATCCGGGGGTTGAATCGGCACAGCGAGGCTTATTAAAAACTGAGTGAGGCACTAAAGAGAAGGGCTTATTAGCTGTAAAGTAATGACACGGCTTGGCTTTGCGAGACTCACATCTGTTTTTATTCTAATGCTGTTGATAGGTACAAACACACAGTAATTAAACAAGACACACAAACACCCACTGCAAACAGGCGACAGCACTTTCCTCTTGACTAAAAAAAAAAAAATCACGTGGAAAGGGTAAGAAGGAAAAAAGCGTGGAGGACCTGTGACTGAGCTTTGTGAGGAAGATGGAAGAGTCGAGGGGGAGGAGGGTGGAGAGGAGGCCGGTGAGGGGTGTAAATGTGGCCCAGTGACCAGTGGCTGACGGGGGACATGACCTACAGGGGCAGAGGTCATATAAAGGTCAAAGAAGGCCTGCTCAGCAACGCCAAAAGCAGCAAGGCAAAACCACACATGACAGAGCAGCCGCATGGCAACAACACTCCAAAACCAAAGCAAAACCATGGCAACAACACGGCAGCAAAGCCATCGCCCCGGCAACAGCGCGGGACGCAAAACGCCACCCGTTTTTTATCTTTCTCGTCCTCGAGCCAGGGAGATCAGAAAGTGTGTGCTTTGGTTTATTTCGCTCCAAGTTGTTGACAAAGCATAAATTCAAGGCTCCTACACGGCCAACAACATCAAACCGGCTGCGTGGAAACAAGCCGTTTTCACTTTTACCCCTTTTAAAGAAGCGTTGTGAGACTCAATCGCACGGGTTATTGCGGTAACGCGCCGAGGCCGATCGAAGACAAGTCGCATCAGGCGTGCTGACGCAAGTTAAGTGGATGTCGAGGGAGATTTATCAGCAGCTACGCGGACATGGCGCGCACACACACAGCATAAACATAAAAACATAAGTAGGGAGGTGTGGAGAAACACATACAAAAAACAAAGCAAGAGCATTTTGAAGTGTTGCTGCAGGGTGGGTTTTATGATCTGGCAGGTGGCAGGAATATTAAGTGAATCCTGCAGTATCTTTGCCCTGCTGCACACCACGAGCCATTAACTACACACACATGACCAGAGAGGAAAAAGGCAATTAATGGTTAACGTCGTCCATCATCTCCGTTGGCGCGCACAAAAGCACGCACGGACAGACACTCACTCGAGCTCACCATTACTCCAACGCGGTGTGTGGATGCCGCTATAAGCCCACACTGATATAGCAGCCACGGACAGACTTTTTGACGCCGTGGTCGGAGGAGGCGGGGGGAGCACGGCGACACATGCATGTGCATGTGGGACATATTTAACATGATGAACCAAAGGAGGGGGTCAAGGCCCTGTTTATGGTTTTGTTTTTATCACGAGCAGCTCGGTCCGTGGATCTCGCATCCTCCATCAGAGACCACGCCGTTTGTGACGAAGATCTAGACGTGAAAAGTCAATAAATGAATTATCCGTGCGAGGCTGTGGTGTGTGTGTGTAGGAATCTGATTACACACACACACAAAGAGACAGAGGGGGGAGAGCCAAGAAAGCCTCCCCGGAGCCCATTGCAAACAGGCCCCATCAATCAGGCGGCCGTGGGAGGGGCCGCGGGGACACCTGCACCTTCTGCCACAGTGTTGAACGCACGACACGGCAAAAGAAAACAAAGCATTAGAGCGTGAATGAGACGCGGGACAAAAGAATTGCAGTGGCGGAGGGATGGACAGATTCCGGTGTCAATGGGACAGAGTGGATGGGATCTGGTTAAGAAGTGTGAGATGGGTGTCATCGCAAGTGAAAATCCATCTTAAAACACATTGCTTAGCTTCTTATTTCTTTTACAATCAATCATCATGGAATTTCTATTCAACAAAGCGATGTGGTCGCGGACGGATTTTCCCTCGGAACAGACGTTGCGGAAGCGACGCTTACGGATTTGCGGATGTTGACCCGAGGTTTGGGGACGGGTTTGCTGGGCTTGCTGTCGAAGCTCTCGGGCAGCGTGGACGATCCGTGGCCGCTCTTCCGGGCCTGCAGGGCCAGCTGATAGGCCACCTCGAAGGCCTGGCCCAGGGTCAGGATGATCTCGTACGCCAGGTTCTGACGAGTGGGGAGGAGGCCGTGAGAATTCAATGTGAAGAAGAAGAACGCGTCGCTTTGAAACACACAGCGTCGGCACTGACCACATCGAAGGCGGTGAAGACGTGGCAGTAGTGGTGACTGGACTTGAGGTCTTTGGTGATGTAGGCGAACGTAGACAGGTCTTCTGGATCCTGAGCCGCGCACGAGATGTTGCGGATCTCATGTTCTGCTATGATGTTCTGCAAAGAGAGAGCAAGATGGGAGGGGGATGATTGTTCATCTAATTACACACATCCCCCAAAAACTTAATCGCTGCAGAGCATTTCTGGTTTGAGAGTTTTCCCCAGAGTCTCCGAGTTGGAATTCGTCCTCTGGTAACGTCACTGGAGAACCGCCGTCGTTGTGTAAATTAAAGTCTCGCCGCTGTGAAATGCACAACGTCAAAGTGCTTTTGTCAAACCAGACGATCTTTGTCATTGATTTTATAAAAAGATATCAGCCTATCGTTGGTCTCTGGAAGGTAAGTGAGAACCCCTCCATCTGGTTTCTGATAAGATATGGAAACGAAAAAGAGTTTTTTTTACATTTCACATAAAATGACATAAAAAGCAGTCCAGCACGTACTTTGCGGTCTAAAACTGTCCGTGTACATTTCTCACATAATGAGGCCAACTTACTTGAGTGCCGCCTGCGGATCCAACTCAAAATCCACTGACTTTCTGCTAATTGTGCTCATCTTCTGCTGTGCGCCTGCTTTTGTGTGTAACAAAGGCCTAAATGAACAAGCAGCTTTTAATAATCTTAAAATTGCTTCTCACTCTCCCACCTTTATTACACACCAAAGGTGGACTATTTTTTGGGATTTATAAACATTATTTATTACCACGCGTTCAGTATTCGTGTAAATTAAGAGGCTATCAACCATTCTCATATGGTTTTCTTTTGGTATTTCTGCCGCCCATACGACTCCACTAAGGACCCAATGAGCCGAGGAGGTCGCCATTGATTTCCCAGCTCATCCATTCCTCATTGGTTATTGCCTGTTTGTGTTTTGCCCTCTTTCACACCTCATCGATTCTTTGCCCCGCGTGGTTTTAAATCAGTCGAGGTGCCGCCTCGGCCATTTCTGACACCTCCGAGGGAGCGGCGAGTGAGTTGTTACCTTGTTTGTGGCGTCGATGAACTTCACCCCTTTGTACGACACGGAGAGCACGATGGTCGGCACTTTCTTCATCTGTTCGGTCGACTTCTTGGAGCGCGCGAAAAGCCAAAGAGACAAAAAAAAAAGAGGGAAATGTGATATTTCAGGCACAACGTTTTGTTTCTAAATGACATTTTTAAAGCCAATTGACTGCAGCGCTTCAAATCCAATCAGTCTATTAGCTCTAAAGCTACATTGGACTGCTTATTCTTTTTAATTGCACATTGACGTGTCTCTGTCGCCTTTATTTAAACTCATTGTGCAGCGAAGTGCCACGTCGCCGAGACGTTTCGGGCGAGAGACGAGTCCCTCTCCTGCCCTGCCTCGGTATCGCTTCTTCTTCTACTGTCATCACACTCTCCCTCCCTGCCTCGCCGCCACGTTGACTCCGCCCGCCGCGGTTTCGGCCTCGTCGGATTCAGGGAGTGCTGACAGGCTGACAGGGGGCGACGACGCTGACCGGCTCTGCTGGACCGGATGAGAGGACGGATGCTGGCAACAGGGCCGAGCGGGCGAGAATGGAACTAATAAAAAGACTGATGTACACGCGTTTCTCGCGCAGAGTTACAACCAAGGTTGTTTTGCAGCAAAGGTGTTAAAGGCAAGAAGAAGAAAGCACTCTGATGTGACTATGTGAATATAGAGACAGAAGGTAAGAGGGAGGAGAACAGAAAGCTTTGCACGTGTTAAAATGTATCTTCACACTGCAGCAGCTCAGGATGAGAGATTACGGTAAAATAAAGAAAGACAGGATGGAGAAAGGACGAGGAGAACAGGAGCAAGCGAGAGAGGGAGAAAGAGAGCAGCAGAAAGTAAGGAGGAGGAGAATGCGGTCAAAACGGGGTCAAAAAAAGAAGAAGAAATCCCTCAATAAGCCTAAAGTCATGATAGTTGGAATGAGAGAACATTTCCATAACCCACGACGTGAGCCGCCACCGCGGCGACAAACGTAAAGAGCAGCAGAGCGACGCGGCGAGCTTTACCCTCATTTTGGCGCACGCGTCCTGCGTGGACTCCGTCCCTCGCAGCTCCTTCACCAGCATGGAGCCCAGGTACTGCGGGAAGGACGCACAACACGGACACGTGACGAGCAAACATGGGAAGAGGAAAGTCGACAGTTGGCTTTTCAATCCGGCAGAATTCTTGTCATCGTCTTTGTACTTTTTGGGGGTTTATTCAGGGAAATAAAGCAACATAAAAATGTTTAGCACTCCCCTCTGTTGACATTCAGCTGCAGTAAATGTGATTGAACGCCCCTCGGGGGACTGGAGTCCGGACGCTGTCAGACATTCTGACCACGTAGGATCTGATTTAATAAAGCAGCAACTAATGGGGACTGCGTTTTACAGGGACAATGTTTATGTCAACATTAGAGCACTTAATGCGCGTGACATCCACCACCTCGCAATGGATCTCCTTAAAAGTGGGACCCCAACGAGGCTGTTGGTCCATTAGAAGTATTTATAGTTCTCGACTCCAAAACCAAGAAGCAAAATGTTGAATACATCTCAAAGAGACTCAAGCTAACGACCTTAAATCGCTGTTATCGAAGGCTGGCTGGCAGTCATCCTACAAATTGCATTACGGCTGCACTAAAGACCAGCTGGCGTCTTGTCTGCCGCGTCTCCAGTCTCTTATTAGCCCCAAATGACATTCAAAGACATAACAAGACGAGGACAACGCTGTAGGCCAATGGTCGCAGTAACAATGCCACCATGCTGATGTTTACCATGTCCGCTATCTTAGTTCAGTCTGCAAGCATGCTAATATTAGCCGCTAAGATGTACTAAAATACAGGAGTCTTAATATTATTGTTATCATAAGTTTAGTCAATTTCAATAAGATATTTAGCGTGTTGGATGCAGGATTTCGCTGGAAAAAGTTTGTAATAACTTGTTTTAGATCGGACGTAGTAATTAACTATGCCTTCCGAGGCGGTGATCAAAATGTTTTCCCTTTCTCCTTCCTGTTACCGCGTTATCCATCTCCTTTGCTATTCTCATGCGCCCAACATTCACAGCGAGGGCTCTGCCTCCCCCTCTGTTGTGGCTCCTGCTCATTTATCTCACTTTCTGAGCCTTCTGGAGCCCGTTGTCCTGAGGGGGGGGGGGTTCCATGGAAGCACCTCCCTATTTTCCCCTGGTTGCCCACCCGCAGTGTGTTCCCCGTCGTCCCGTCCAGGAGAACAGGCGAGGCAAGACGAGCCATCAGCAATACTTTTATCTCTTATCCACTCAGCCGCGTTCTCGCTTTCATTCATATTTGATTTCAGCTTCGCATTTTGATTTGTTTGAACTATCTGTTCTCTCTTTTTTTTTTTATTACCTCTCCTGTATTTCTGAGATCACATTTGCTCCTGCGTTCTCTGCGCTGCTCCAATTATTGACAGCACCCAGGCTGAGATGAAACGACCACTTTAAATGATGGCAGCAAAATGTTTAGTCTTTTTACCACTTCAACTTGGATTTTGATCATGGAGAAAATGATCAGCAGATTAGCGGTCATTGGAAGCGATCGTCTGTTGGCAGATGAACACACACACGCGCGGTGAAGGGAAGCGGCGGGACTCACGTAGGCTTCGTAGTCACAGGACTGAAAGATGAGCTTCTCGGGGTGATGCTGCCAGTACTGCACCGGCGTGGACGAGGTGGCCTCGTTGGGCGGACGCAACGTGATCGGCTCGCACCAATCGCCCCCCTGAAACCACAACCAGTAAGACGTTAGTGCGCGAGAAACGGGACCAGGCCGTAATGACACGACCCGCTGGCCCGTTAAATGTGTGTAAGTTCATGTCGGAACGGCTTTGGAGAGCATGCGAGAGGAAATTAAACGTGGAGGAATTCATGCTCCGCTTCCAGATGTTCCCATTCTTTGGCCCATTTTGTGAGTCTCTGCCGCTGCTCACCTCTTTCTCACCCGCGGAGCTTTCACCTTTTTATTAAACAGTAAACCCCCGAAATCCTATCTGCATACTTGAGATGACGAGCCGCGCACGCGTCCCGCGCCAGAGAGCGTTTGTATGTGCGTCCATGTCGGATTGCTTTTTCCGTGTAATCCCCGTGACGACGTCGGCGAGGTTCCGCAGAGGTGAGATCTTGTGATCAGATGCAAAGATGTTTGATAAACAGCCCCGGGGATAAAGCCTTAGGAGCAAGCTTAAGCCAAAGCTACACTAAACCCAAACAGCTCAACCATTTTGCACACGTCCCCCCCCCCCCTCACGCTTTGACCCAGCTGCCGGACTCATCTGGAAATCTCCAGTTACTAAAAGTTCTCACTGTGGCGCCTGAGGGACCAAACGAGGCGCCGAACCGGTTCTCCTGGGTTACGTTTTTTTTCTCGACGGCCCACAACAGTTGTCTTTCCCTTTTGGCAGAGCGGACTTATCGATTCTGAAGGGATTCGGGAGGAGAACATCTCAACAGGGGAACATCACAACAAGACTGTGTCGAGATGCTCCAGGAGTCACGCAGAGGCACAAAAAGACCCTAATCACACTCAATCACAACACAGCTGCTCTCCCAGATGTGTGTGTGTGTGTGTGTGTGTGTTTCTGATTGGAAGCCATCCAATCAGACCAAGTAATCAGTTTTGAGTTTAGATCAAAATAAATTTGGCAGCAAAGTTCTGCAATGTAGAGCCATAAAATCTTTTGATGTTTGGAATTACCGCCCGACGGACGTTTCATTTTGTAAAGCTGTAGATTATTCGATCGGTTGCATCTGTACGCATGTCGGCCGAACCGTCGCTCTGCGTGTTTCCTCATTTTGTAGCACAAAGTTTCAGGCGTAATCTTCATGTTCGCCCTGAATTGTACAATTTGTATAAGCTCTAAACTGCAGAGACGGCAGCTGGTGTCAGACGGTCTGCCTGCCGGGATTATTAATTGTGTCTTTTCAACAAGCAAGCCGGCAGATAAAACACTTTGGGCTTTAATAAGGCGGCTATTACGTACAGCCTTTAATAACCGAGATACTTCATGTATGATTAAGACCTGCTCCACCTATTTATCGTGTCATTGATATACATTTATTTATTTGTATTTACCATCAATGCAACTCCCAAACTTTATTTATCTTCAAAAAAGTCACTAACACACACCTGGTGCTTCACACGTGTTTGTCGGTGTGACTCAGACTTTTTATATATATATATATATATATATATATATATATATATATATATATATATATATATATATATATCCCCATTGTGGCTCATTGACGTCTTTTTGGTAACGACGTGCACGTTGCCAACGAGAAAAGAACAGAACATTACAAAAAACGCACCCTTTTAGCATTCAGCCAGACTACCGGATCTCTGACTGCCACCATTCATAACCCCCACCCCCCCCACCACCTCCCTCCACCTCCTCCCCCCGCCTCCATTCATGCTCACCATGCCGACTTGGGCCATCTGCCGCTCCAGCTTGGATCGCGGCACGTCCTCGAAGTAGTTGTCGTTGCTGCGCTGCCTGCGCCGGGCGTCCGCCTGCATGATGAGGTGCTGCACGTCCAGAGATCCGCCGGGGACCCCCGCCGTGTACGCCGCCTGGCCCACCGACGGGCTGAGCTGGGGGGGAGTGTGGTTCCCGCCGGGCTCCTGGGACAGAACGGGGGGTGAAGAGTGTGAGGAGGCCGTAAACCGGAAAGACCAAAGATTCTGTCCGTTTACCTGAAGTCCTCAGCTTGTGGCAGAAGTGGCTTCCTCCGTAAAGTGGAGAATTCCCCAAAGAATTACAACTTTTAAACACTTTAACGCAGTAATGGTTTTAGCGGGTGAGCCCCCCCGAGACCAGAGGACTCAATAGAAGAGAGATTTTTCCTCTCGGTTCTGATGTTGAGCCTCATTTGTCCCAAAGCGCGCAGCTGACTGATTAAACAAACTTGAAGGAGGAAATGCTGCGTAAACATATCATTTCACTCCGTGTTGAGTGACGTGCGGTATAATCTTCGGCGCTTCTTTAATTACAAGCCAGTGTCACCTCTTTTCCCGGATGGAATGAAATTAAGGCTTTTTGTTTTAGCTTCTCAAATCTTATCTTTTGTGTTTTATTGTTGGATATTATACAAGATTTTTTTTTTTACAGCTCCCTCACTGCCCTCTGGGAAGGAATCAGAGCTTCCTTCCTCCGTCTGAAGAATCCACCGTTTGAATTCACATTGCATCAGATACTGATACTGATGCAATGTGAATGTCGCGGCCGATATGAAATTCCGTCTGCTCATGGAGACTCACTCACCCTGAGGGAGATGGCCCGCGGAGGTTTTTGTGGGGTTTCTTCGAGTAGCCGGTCCCCCAATGAGGCAAGGATCCGCTTTCTGTGTCCGATGAGACTGATCTTCAACACCTGAACACAGATATTACACATTAACGCGTCATTACGAGCAAGGCAGCAGACCGTCCTCTTTCCTATTTGCTCTTTTCACAACAAACTTCATGCATATTGTAATGACAGCGCATGAGATTAACGTTTGATGAACAATGATTTATAAATATGATGAAATATTCAGTATTTAGCTTCAGGAGGAGTTAAGATATCACATTTTTATGTTCGCTGCAACTGGGTTCAAAGCAAAACATTAAACAACATGACGCACTGACATTAGTTCAATTTAAAACAGTTTTTTAATAAAGAGTAACGCTTCCAAAAACGCCAGCCCTCAGGTTAGTGTCACACCTCAGTATAAACTATGTGTGATGAGACACACACACACACAAGGACACACTGGATGAATTAGTTACATTACATTACATTACATTACATGTCATTTAGCTGACGCTTTTATCCAAAGCGACGTACAATAAGTGCATTCAACCATAGGGTACAAACTCAGGAGAACAAGAAACAAGAAAGTGCAATTTCCTCAAATAAGCGAATTTACAATAGTTAGTTGTCCTACGGCCACAATGCTCTTTTGTCCCCTCCCTCCACATCCCAACACACACCGAAAGATTCCTCTCTTTGTCCGGATAGTTTTTTTTGCAAATTTGTCTTTTGGTTTTCAGCAGCGCTCGCTACTCAGGCCCAAAAAAAAGATACAAAATAAACACACACACACACACTTCCAATGAAAGCATTCATTGTTCGTGTGGTCACCAGGCGTCCACTGACTGTGCCAGTTACCGGGTTTTCTAAAGAGACGAGCTGGAACACGACTGCTTTCTGCAGAGCTCTTGTTTGCAGCGTCTACACCTTCTGGCACCAACAGATCCCCCAGCATGCAACAGACTGCTGCCTGGCTTCACGCTGCTGCCCTTGGGGGTGTTTAGATGAAGATATATAAGCCCGTCTTCGGGGCAAGAAGGTGGTAATGAGCCTCAATGCGAGACCTCAGTGTACTGAGTCAGCGCAATTTGCACATAACAAACACACTTGTGCGTCCATGCAGATTGCAACTTTATTAAAATGTATCAAAAATGCTTAACATCTTCTTCCGTTTCATTCACTTTCGGTCGCAGCGGGCGGCGTTCAAAGTGAGATGCAGCGGCTGCTGACGGGTTAAAATCCATCCTACACCGCTCTTCTCTGCATGGAAATAATGTTTTTTAATTGTTAAAATTAGAGGGATCAAAAGGAAGTGGAGAGCTGGGACTAGCGGGTAGTGGAACTAATTGGTGTGTAATAACTGCCCCGTGCTCCCTCCAACAATTAGTATTCACTCATCTGTCCCCTCCTCTCCTCCTCCATCCATCGCCGTCCGTCTCCAAGCACTAAAGATGACATTGAGTCGCTGAATTTGGTGCATTGAGATCATGTGCTTTTGGCTAAATCTTCAGCATTGAACCATTTCAGAGCTCTCTTATTATATATATATATATATATATATTTTTTTTTTTTTTTTGTTCACACATTCTTTTAGCGTGTTCTTTCTTAATTATTTCGACATCTGCTGCGTAAACTGAATATCTCTTGTTTTTGGACTGACAAAACAACCCATTTGATAATGCCTTTAAGCGGTCTAAATCTTTTTATGATTAAGGCATTTGAGGAGACAATAATATGCAGCTAAATCTATTTGGAAAATAAATGGCAGCCCCAAGAAAAATGTGAAAGTTATTCCTTTAAGGGGCCAAATTCTTCATTCTAAAGTCGTACCGGACGTGCACTGAATATGCTCTGAACGAATTTAGTGCCCATAAAATAGTATAGTACAATATATTTTTCACCTTACATCAGTTCATTTGACCCACTTTAATAACTTCAGTACAAAATAACCAGAGTAATGCATTTTTCTTTTCACCTGATGTAGTAAAGGTTATGGATTATTCATGTTCCTGCCTCTCGTCTCTGTCCTGAGGGTCTGTAGCGTAACACCAGTCCTCACACTGCCGCTTCATCACATACAAACACACACACTCTCTCCGGAGAGAGAAACGGCCTTGCATGATGCACATCCAAGTGTGTGTGTGTGTGTGTGTGTGTGTGTCAGCACGTTACACTTCTTATGCAACATCTACTTCAACTACAGTGGAAGCCTCAACCTCGGCCTGAAGTTCAACTGTCACCATGGCAACGCAGAGCCGCCGCAGCAGCAGCCACCCACACAAACACTCATCCCCAAATATATATATATATATATATATCCACATGCACGTGGATGTGTACTCTCTCTTTCACCGCCCCCCCCCCCACACACACACACACGTAGATACACATATCGTCATCCCTGATTGGTTGAGAATGTGAACGCAAGCCATGACCATTATTGCTAAAACACAGACTCGCGCTCTCACCCTGTGATGCTTGACTGCGGTATCGCCCCGTTTGCATTTGCATTTAAATTGTATTTAAAGCATCTCGGTATACTGAGGGGAAAAGTGTAGCGCCCCCCCCCCCCCCCCCCCAAACCGGAAGAAAAAACACATAATGGGTTTGACTCCGCTCTATTCGAAAGGGACCAAGAAGCGGGAGAGTGCAAAAAATCTGGGTATCTCCGCGCTCATGCTACTGAATCCCTCCCCCTCCCTGTTTGCATTGGAACCGAGTGGCTTTACTTACCCTCCGGTCCTCACTTTATTAAGTACTAAGTGATTTGGGGCATTCTCTAATTCCAATATTTGGCTGGGCTGCGATGTTTGTGTGTGGCGCGTGCGTCTGTGTGTGTGTCAATCAATGCACTAATCCCGTTAGCGGTCCCGCTAGGCCACATCCAAGGGGCTCCGTCGGCGCATTAGCCGCCACACATGGGGGTCAAGGAGCTGTGTTTTTCTCACAGCGCGGGTAACCGGTAAACAAGTTATTTTATTCAGCAACAACGCCGAATTTGTATGAACTTCTCGACCTCATGAAGCGGTGTGAGTCAGTGATTGGGGGTGGGGAGGGGGGTTGGGGGGGGCATTACCAACGACCTCTCACAATCAGGCCATCCGGAGACAAAAAGCCTTTTCTCTGGTTCCCAGTAACGCTTGTCGGGTCGCTGGAGCGTGAAACCCGGCGAGGGAGACCGACGCTCCGCTGTCGGTGCTCAAGATAGCGCGGCGTTTTAATGACGGCCGCTCGGATTCCCTTGACCTCAAATTACCCCTCGTCATCTGCTCCGGTCTCTCCCAATCTGTCCTCCTTTCGCTCCCGTCCCGCTGCGCAGCCAGATATGAGGAGACGGCGCTCAGGAGGCGAAGACGGGCGGAGAATAAATAGCAGGCGAGTGTCGTGAGGCGGTTTCTTCTCTTCAGCCTTGGCAACCGCATGCGATTGGTCCACCTTTTGTTTGTTAGCTCTCGCTGCTCGTGTCTACCTTCTCCAGGCTCACGTCGATACGACCAATCGCCTCTCCCTCTGCAGACTGGGAGGTCGCGACCTTTGCGATGTCAACGGACCTCCCAAAGCCCCTCGGCGGGTTGGGGTTCGACCCTTTGAAGAATCCTCCCATCGATTTATTCCAGATCAAAGGATCACCAGCTTGGGTTTCTTAAATTGCCCGGGTCAGAATACATTACGGGAGGATTGACTGGTATGATTGATCGGCAAACGGGCCATGTCTGACTCAGGTCTTGGAGGTTGACTACACGGCTGTGGCTAGCGAGGACATCGGGGTCGCGTCCTCCGAAGTATCTTTGAGGATCTGGGGTTTCAGGCAGTTTTTGGGGATCAAATATCCCAAAACGTTTTCTTTGCAACAAATCTCATTACTATCTATATGTATTACATTATTGTCAAAGCAGAGAAGATAATAATAATAAACATTGTATTGTTAATATTGGTGGATTAGATTTCCTGATTTTCCTTTAATAAAGTATTAAGATTTCACCACGTTTTTTTCCGCCCGGAATGTTGCCAAAGGCATCAGACATGCAATATATATAAGCACGTCAGTACTTTGAACATTGGAACATTGCTATAGTGAAGATTGGCACCTTAAATATGAGCGAGGGTGATTTCTGAGGGAATTTATCCTGGTTGAATAGTATAATTACCGCTTTACAATCACATCTAGTGGTTTTGAGCAGGAAAATGAAAATTGGAGATAAACATCAGGCGATAATGATGTCTGGCCCGTGGCACTTAATCTGTTGGCTAAGATGGGACGTAGGAGAAAGAAGCTTCCCTCTGGCAATCAATAGGTTTTGTCATAGAAAAGCATTGATGTAATGTGGATAATGAGCTCAGCTCATGCTGAGAGTCAAAGTAGAGACATTTACACCAACAGGGTCACATTCGACATCTTCTGAGCCTGAATACTTCATCACAGCCAGACACCGTCCTCGTCGATGCATCGCTCACTTAACTCGTGTGTTGTTTGGGGTGGGGGGGGGGTTTGGCTGGAATGATGAGTATTGATTTGCCCAAACTCTCAATAGACAATACACACACACACACACACACTACATTAAGGGGGGGCATCATTGGGAAACCAGAGACCACTGGTTGCTTAGCAACGAGAGAGCAGAGGGGAATTGCAGCTAAGTGTGGGTTTGTAGAAACTGATTTCCAAGAGGGACCAATAGGATGTCTCGTTTCTGTGCCGACACAACCGGCAGCCAATAGGAGAAAATAAGCCTGCCTCCATGGACACATATATCTCCATTAATAGCACAAGAACTGTAACTATGACTAGAAGCACAGGCTGTGCGTGTGTGTGTGTGTGTGTGTGTGTGTGTGAGCAAGCAAACATTGCTAAGTGCTGCAGGATCAAGGTTGAAGCAAGAGCTCTCAAATCTTTTCCTCTGCATAAACACACACTTTGCCACACAGAGGAGCACAAGCTCTCATAGGGGCACCAGGCTGTGTGTGAACATCCATACATTTGTGTGTGTGTGTGTAAGTTTATGAGCACAGTACTATCTGGTGTGGGTGCTTCAACAGAGATGATCCACCTTCGGTCTTTACAAACGGTAAAAATTCAAGTG